GACGGGGACCTTGGGTGCACTGGCTTGATCACCCACGAGATCCCCTTGCTGGACCACGTGCCTATTCGGCAACGCTACAGGCGCATTCCACCTTCGGAGTATGAGGCGGTTAAGGCCCATATTAACCAGCTCCTCGAGGCGCAGGTAATCAGGGAAAGTTGCAGTCCTTATGCCTCCCCCATAGTCCTGGTTCGTAAGAAGGATGGTAGCCTTCGCCTCTGCGTGGACTACCGCCTTCTGAACGCCAGGACCAGGAAGGATGCCTTTCCTTTACCTCGCATTGAGGAGAGCCTGGACGCGTTGTCGGGTGCCCGCTGGTTTTCAACCCTCGATTTGGCCAGCGGGTACAATCAGGTCCCAATGGCGGAACAGGACAAGGGAAAAACTGCCTTTTGCACCCCGTTTGGCCTCTTCGAGTTCAATCGAATGCCATTCGGGTTGTGCAATGCTCCAAGTACCTTCCAGCGCTTGATGCAGAGATTGTTTGGGGACCAACAGTGTCAGTCGCTTTTGTTATATCTCGATGACATTGTTGTGTTTTCATCCTCCGTATCCCAGCACGTGGAGAGGCTGGACCTCGTCTTGGGCCGTCTCCAACACGAAGGCTTAAAGGCCAAACTGGAAAAATGTTCCTTTTTCCAACCGAAGGTCAAATACTTGGGGCATGTCATCTCCCAAGATGGTGTCTCTACGGACCCTTCTAAGATCGAGGCTGTAGCGGAGTGGAAGCGCCCTCAGCACGTTACCGAGCTGCGATCCTTCCTCGGTTTCGCCAGCTATTATCGGCGCTTCGTGGAAGGGTTTGCCAAAGTGGCCGCACCACTCCACAAGCTAGTGGCGGCAATTGGTGGGACCAAAACCAAAAGAGGGTCTGGACAACCTCTGGGTGAGTTATGGACCCAACAGTGCGAGGCCAGTTTTGAGAACCTTAAGGCAAAGTTGGCCTCAGCCCCTGTGCTTGCATATGCAGACTTTTCCAAGCCTTTTGTCTTGGAAACTGATGCGAGCTTCAGCGGGCTTGGCGCAGTACTTTCGCAAGAGACTGAGAATGGCCTGCGGCCTGTCGCCTATGCGAGCCGTGGTTTGCGGCCCACTGAGCGCAATATGACCAATTACAGTTCTATGAAGTTGGAACTGCTTGCGCTCAAGTGGGCCCTGACCGAAAAGTTTCGGGAGTACTTGCTTGGGCATAAGTGCGTGATTTTTACCGATAATAATCCGCTGAGCTACCTGCAAACCGCTAAGCTGGGAGCCCTGGAGCACCGGTGGGCTGCCCAACTTGCTGCCTTTGACTTCGAGATCAAGTACAGGTCTGGACGCAGCAATGGCAATGCAGATGCTCTGTCCAGGCAGTACTTGACATCGGCTGACATGACAGCAGGCGTACTGCCTGGCAGCACAGTCCCGCTGGCGCTTCAACAAGCAGCGGGGCCATTGGTGGGCACCCAGTCCTTGATGGCAGTCTTCCCTAGCCGCTCTAGTGCGGATATGGGTGCGCTGCAAGAGACCGACCTTTGTCTGGGGGAGTTCCTTACCTTTTGGAGAAGGCAAGCGCGGCCAAATCAGGACGAGCGCGGCCGCCTCTCGAAGCCCACCTTAATCCTTCTCCAGCAGTGGGACCGGTTGGTTGAGGAGGAAGGAGTACTCTACCGCCGGGTCTTTCGACCGGATGGTCAAGAGGGTTTTCTCCAGCTCCTCTTGCCAGCAGCCCTAAGGGAACAGACTCTTGAACAACTCCATCAGGAACATGGGCACCAGGGCATTGACCGAACCCTTGACTTGGTGCGCCAGCGGTGTTACTGGCCTCGAATGTCGACCGATGTTAAGCAGTGGGTACAGCAGTGTGTGAGGTGCCAAATGGCCAAGGATTCTGCCCCGGTGCCTCATAGCTATATGGGCCATCTGCTCGCTTCACAACCAAATGAAGTTCTGGCCCTCGACTTCACCGTGCTCGAGCCAACCCGTAATGGGATTGAGAACGTGTTGGTCCTGACGGATGTCTTTACGAAATATACTATCGCCGTACCCACGAGGGATCAACGAGCCCAGACGGTCGCCCGGGTGATCACCCAGGAATGGTTCTACAAGTACGGGGTGCCGGGCCGCATACACTCCGACCAAGGTAGGTGTTTCGAGAGTTCCCTCATGCACCAGCTTTGTAGTCTCTATGGAGTGGGAAAGTCACGGACTACCGCATACCATCCGGCTGGAAATGGGCAATGTGAGCGGTTTAACCGCACCCTCCACAATCTTCTCCGCACCCTACCTCAGTCCCGGAAGCAGGACTGGGCTGCATGTCTTCCTCAAGTGCTCTTTTCATACAACACCACCCCTCATCAGAGCACAGGCGAATCTCCCTTCTACCTGATGTTCGGGCGGGAGCCTAAGCTTCCCATCGATTTTGCTTTGGGGCAGGTGCGGGAACCTCTGCGAGGAACCGTCCAGGATTGGGTGTCAGAACACAGCGCAAAGCTAAAACTGGCTTTTGCCAGTGCACGGGAGCAACTGGTGTCCAATGCGGGTCGCAGAAAAGTGAGACACGACCTCCGGGTGAAGGAGGACACTCTGCAGGTCGGTCAGCTTGCTTACCTCAGGGACAAGGGGGCGCCACAAAATCCAAGACATCTGGTGCCCTGAGTTGTATCAGATTGTGAGGGCCCCTTTGGGCGGAGGGCCCGTTTACACCGTGGCGCCAATTGCCAATTTGCAAGCCACCCGTAATGTGCACAGGGATATGTTAAAGGCCCATGTGGGGCCTGGCCCGTCCCGGGAACCTCCACAGACCGAGGTGGCAGTGGAGCTTCCAGATGGAGAGCGTCCTTTCGGTGGGGATTCATGGTTTCTTGTCACCAGCGCACCAGGGAATGTAGCCCCTACCATGCACCGCGACGTGGGCCGCCCTCAGGAGGAGTGTGGTGATCCTCCAAGGGATTCTGCAGGGAAAGGCAACCAGGCAGAAGCACCACCACCTGAGGTAGACAGGCAAGTATTGCGCCGCACAACTCAAGCAACGGCTGGGCAACACTCCAACGTCCATCATCTGCCACGCCTTCTGGAGTCCTCGGGGACAGTGCACCCTTGAGCTAACTTCTCATAGCGGTTCCTGGCTTTTGGTGGTGTCGTCGGGGCGCCGACAAACTAAGGGGGGTTGGAATGTAGCATGTTGGTGTGGTGGTGTGGCTGCCTTCACGGTGCGCCGTGGGCGTCACCAACATAGCTTTTAAATTCGGACGCGCGCGTGGCGCGCGCACACGCGTATCTGTCTTTTTGGCATTGTGACAGCGTCTTGTTGTGCTGCCGCCGGACCGGGTCGGGGCTACATGGTCCCTGACCTCCGTGCACCTCAGGCTTATTCAATCAGGTTTGTGTCGGTCTGCCGGGAGCGACCGGGCTGTCTCCTCCCCCCCCCCCGGAGTGTAGGCTATAGCCGCGCGGTGCGTGTCTGGGATTTCCCCCCCTGATTGTGAGCAGTGTGGGAGCGCGCGTATCACTTCTCTCCCTTCCCCTCCGCCTGCCCCTCGTGTGTGTGCGCAGAGTGCACGCTTAAAGGCGCGGCACGGGTTTGGGGTCTTCCCCGGATCCTGAGCTGCGTGGGAACGTGCACCTTCCGCCGTGCCTTTCCCCTCCTCTTGCTCCTCGTGCGTACGCACAACCTCGGTTCGCCGGAACGAGGCGTGTGGCTTACGGCTGTCTTTCAGGCCGCCCCCTGTGAGGGAGGGCCGTTGTTTTGTCCTCTCTTCATTTATTTTAGTTACTTTATGTATACAATTACAAAGGACAATTTCAGGCACCTCTGACGCCTGGTGTGGCACTTGTTCAAATGCACTAAAGCACAACTCACTTTATAGGCTGCAGTTTGCAGTGAGTTTCGCGTCTTGTATGTTGTTTTCGCATGTTCCTTTATGTATTTTTGTTTGCTTTGCTTATTATTAATTACAGTGTTTTGACTTGGTTTGCTTTGCATGATTTTGATTTGGTTATCATATGTATTGTGTATATTCTGTTTGTGTGCAACTTATTTCCCTGCTACTGTTTGCCTTTAAGTTAATTGGTTGCTTTTGACTTTTGCTCTGTCCCAAAATCAGTGTCAATTTGAATGTGCCAACTTATAGATTTTATCTTTTATACATCTAGGCCTATTTTTAACCAGTTGCTGAAATAAAGGAATTTCTAGTTTATTAACACTCCTCTCTTTAATGTCCAACCTAGCGCGGTATTATTCTGTGGGTAAATCAAGAGTGATTCTGGTCCCAGGGCCCTACTCCCTGGGTGGCGTTGTTGGTATTTCTAAAATTTCTAAAACTGCTCCCGCCACACTAGGTTCAAGGTTTAGAATTCTATACCCGATATGGTTTTCTCAGGAAAAGCTCATGTACAGTACAGACCAAAAGTTTGGACACACTTTCTCATTCAATGAGTGTCCTTTCTTTTCATGACTATTGGCTGTAGATCCACACCCAGGCTGTGTAAGGGCTCTTTGACCAATAAGGAGAGTGGTGGGTGCTGGGCCAGATGACCTCCACAGTCACCGGACCTGAACCCAGAGTGAAGGCAAAAGGGCCAACATGTGCCAAGCATCATGGGAACTCCTTCAAGACTGTCGAAGACCATTTCAGGTCACTACCTCTTGAAGCTCATCAAGAGAATGCCAAGAGTGTGTGAAGCAGTAATCAGAGCAAAAGGTGCTGCTTTAAAGAACCAAGAAGCACCTTTCAGTTGTTTCATACTTTTTTTTTTTAGTACGTACATAATTCCACATAAGTTAATTCAGTGTGAATCTACAATTTTCATTATCATGAAAAATAAATAATTCTTTAAATGAGAAGGTGTTTTTGATCTGTGCTGTATACCATGAGATAGTAGCCTGTAATAACCTCTTACTATCAAGTTTTGACAATATTATTTCAAGCACCCTAATACCCCTGTGCTGAAGCTGAATTCTCCAGTTTGTTGAATATGCTCAGTAAAAACATAAAACTTAATTTGCTATTGTTGGCTACCTCATTTCCCAGGGAGTCCACTATGGAGATGTAATTCGGGTGTGTCTTGTTGGGATAGGACAGCAGGACATCGTAGTGCACCAGATCCACCGAGTCCAGCCCAAAGTCCTGCCACTCTCTGCGGATTTGCTCTGCATATTTCAGGTTCTGCTCGGTTCCAGCCAAATGAGGAAGCCGTGTGAATTTCCTTTAGAAGAAATACGCACTAGTTTCAAATCTATTACATAATTTCAGAAAAGTTGTCCTTGAGTGTTCTTTTTGGATACACAATTATTATAACTGTTTCAGAATTAGTGATTTCTTTGGCCAGTGGTTCTCAAACTTCTCCTTCAAATAGCAGCAAATTTCAATAGTTGGATAAATACTAAATTAGGGCGACAGTGGCTCAGTTGGTAGAGCATTGGCCTTTGGGCCTGAAGGTCGTGGGTTCGAGCCCACCGTAAGACCTACTTCACGACTCCCAATGATGACTGCTGTCGTTGTGTCCTTGGGCAAGACACTTAACCCCACTTTGCCCAAAGCCCCCAACTGAAAGATCTCAGCTCCTGTAGGAGGATCAGTGAGGGGCTGGTGCTATCTGTACTGGGTGCAGCTCTGACTGCCACCCCCCCGACCCAGAAATGGATTAAGGGGAAGAAAATGGATGGATGGATGGATAAATACCATGTTGCATGTTCTAAAAAAAAAAACACTCTTCTTGGTGAAAAATAGGCTCGGAATAAAGCGACACTGTTCCTATAATATAGTCCTTCATGAGAATCAACCCACATTTGACTGAAGCATGGAATCAAATGTCTTTTTAATTCACCAGATACTTTCAAAGACTATGTCAAGAAAATATGGAATATTGTTAAATTTGGTTATGAAGCCCTTGCATAATCATTAATGTAACATTGTAAGTAAGTATAATATTTTAGATTTTGAGAGTTTTCTCAAGGGCGTAGCAATATACAATCCTGCCTTTTTTTCCAGAGAGACCTTCACAGGCAAGGTCCTTCACGGGCGGCACGGTGGCTGAGTGGATAGCACTCTCGCCTCTCAGCAAGAAGGTCCTGGGTTCGAATCCCGGTCGGACCAGGGCCTTTCTGAGTGGAGTTTGCATGTTCTCCCCGTGTCTGCGTAGGTTTCCTCCGGGTACTCCGGTTTCCCCTACCACTAAAAATATGTCCAATAGTTCTGGCATGCGCCTCCTGTACTGGCGACCCCGCTCCCATCTCTGTGTGGAGTGAGATACAAATGCCCAAAATTAACAATTGTAAACCGCTTTGAGACTCAGATCTGCAGTGAAAAGGCGGTATATAAATAATAACTTACTTACTTACTTACTAATACATTCTGGGATGTTGCAGATTTGCAACATTGGCCTGCAGCGGTAAATAGAGCTGACTTGGGGTAATCTACTAATTGCATGAAGAGTATCTATATAAATTCATCTTTCATTTTATGCAGTTTTGGTTTCAAATTATTTGAGGTTGATAGTGACACTGACTTGTGTTACAGGTTAAAAGTGTGTGTTGCTAAAGCTCAACTAAGTCCAGCAGCGGTACTTCTGAGTAAAAAAGGGATTTGGAGAAGAAGTAGAAGTACTTTAGATGAAGGACGAAACGTTACTGAGAAGTACAGATGATGGGTGAGAAACCTCCTTTTGCTTTGACCAATCCCTGTACGACTGAGAGCTTACACAAAAACAATAATACTAATTTAAATGATAAATCTTGTACACCCACAAGGCGCTCAAGTACATGTCCCACAGTTTGAGAATGGTTTGGCCACATACCTCAGGTGATGTCTTATCTTTTCGGCTTTCATTTCTCCTAAAAACTCCTTCAGATACTTGTTGGACTCTGCATGCTTTTCGGTCTCTGAAAGCACAGGCTTTGCAAACCAGCCTTGGGAATAAATGGATAATCAATTTTAGCACAATATGGAAGCAATTGTTAAAATATACATATTATTCATACAACAATTGATTTGGGGAAACTTGTGCAAGAGATCTATCTTATAAAACACCAACACTGAAGGCATGTGACAACATTCTTCTGTGTGTGGACGTGAAATGTGTCTGAGAGGCGATAGCAAAGCCATGCTCACATCATTTTGCTCAAATTTAACCTGTATAAGTGAAAATCTTACCAATGATGAATCCAAAGAAAAAAATGACCATTACAACCATTATCCAAAACATCCATTGTAATAACTGACTTCTGCTTCCCATCCTAGAGACAGGTCCAGCCATTGGAAAGGCCCAGCGCTGAGAAAGAGAAAAGTTTGTTTATGTAGTGTTCAGTTAGAGAAGAGAGAACTGAGAAGAGGGGAGAGGGAGAGGGGGAGGGGGCAAAACACAGGCTTCCAATGAGTGCAGTGAAGTGGCAAGTGTGTTATCAGTGGAGTTGGTACAAAGCTGCTCATTTACAACCCAGAGCATGGTCAGTGCTGCATGCACCTTGGCCACCACCCTGCTGAGTCAGGGCCACTCTGAGCAAGACAATTGTGTCTAATATGGCCACTATAAAGCAGCTACGGCACAAGTGAAAAGGCCACTAGTTTGTCAACCTGCAGTTAAATGTGCAAACTGTGTTACTGGAAACCATTGCAAAAAACATATGTCAAAACGTCAAAAATGTGTAGCTCTTGTAGTAACTTCATAGTTTCACTGTGTTATAATCATACTATAGTCAGTAGGCTTTTATGTCGTAACTATTTCTAAAGGACCTAATGCAGGTGTCTCCAACCTTTTAACCCCAGAGAGCTACTTTCCCGGGACGATAAAGGCAGAGAGCTACTCCTTTAAGCGGCCCCTGGGAACAAAAATGTGGTGATATATTGTTGTGAACAAGCCTGATGTTGGGTACAGTCATTATTTATCACTGCATATTTGTTACTAGTGACAAAGTGAGAGCATTTACAATAAAAGAATAATAATAATGAACAACAATATCTGTAATATTAGAGTATTATTTGATTTGTTCATTTCTAAATCCTTTGGGTGAGCTACCTAGAAGAGGGTGGCGAGCTACTGGTTGGAGACCCCTGATTCCTCATGACATGCTCAACACAATGCATTCACACTCACCTCACCAAAGAGACCAAAACTTTCACCTAAGATCTTACCTTGGCAGTTGACTAAACTTCACAATACTCCCTCAACAAATGTGCATTCAATGAGTTATTCAGATCAGTCTGTTTCCCACACTGAAGGCCCTGTATCTTGTGGCTTTGTGACCAGCTGTGTATACTTTGATTCAGTTTAGGTTTCGAGCTGTGGGACTATCTCCACCCTGAGGAATTTTGGGAGGACACACTCATTTCAGCCTCCCTTCAGGCTCGAGGTAGACTGTAGTCATTTTAATATAGTACCTCTATTGTTACTGCCTCATAAAGCAGAACACTTCAGCGGGAGGAGGGGATCAGCTTTTTCACAGAAAAGTGAAAATAAGAGGACCACCCTATCTCTATGCCCAAAGCGTCAAATAGTGACTCACTGGGCTCTTTATTACAAGTCTGCAAAATAACAAATGTTTACTGTTACAGGATCCTTTCTGTTGGGACAAACATGTATCATTTAGGAAATATTAAAGTTTTAAGATGTTAATGTACATGTAATGTAAATCATAGACTGTATATCCTGCTCATGCATCATGTTCAAACTAAAGCTCGCCGTGTGATACTATGTCATGTGACCCTCTGCCTTGCAATTTCAGTGTCATCCAGCCAACTTCAGCTCGAGTTGTGCATGCTATACCTCATCGTAAAGGTAAGAAAATTTGGGATTCAGTCACTTTACTGGCATTTGATTTGAATTGTGTCACAACGTTTCATATATGACCCTAATTTAGCTGTGTTGTGAATCAATATGGACATTTCTTTTTAAAGCCCAGAACTGCCCAAAACAGTTTTGCTTAAAGGTATCTAGGAGGATTTTCCCAAATTTTAGGAAAGAACCGCCCTCTCCACTTTTTGAACCAAACTCTCTGGCCTTATTTGACGAATATGTATCACCAGAATGATTGACATTTATTTGGACCAATAGTCTTGATGATCCACCCGGAAGTAGAAAATCCTCCTAGATACCTTTAACGTGCACTTACAATACAATACAATTTCTTGTATAGCCCTAAATCACAACAGAAGTCATCTCAGAGGACTTAACAAAACCACTTCTTTTGGTTGTTCCTCCTTTTTGGGCTGTATATATTTTGCATTTGAGTGGTGTAGGCAGTGGCGGAGCCAGACTTTTAAACAGAGGGTGGCAAGGTTTTTTTTAAGGGGTCCACATTTATACTATTCCGAAATTTTATTTCATACAAAAACTGGCTAAACGATACATTTTAATATTAATCTTGTCATTATTTTTAATATAAAGTGAACTGAGAGCACACTTGGAAACTACAAAGCAAAAAAGTGTATTCAAATAGTAGTCTGAACAAAAAAGTGCAAAATAACATTCAAACATTGCATTACATTTTTCTTTTAACAAATTTAGAAAATTCCTACGGTTCTGGTGTAAAGCAGCAAAGATGTTGACAAACTCATCCATATTCAGCCCTGAGCCTCCTTTACATACACTGAGGATACCAAGATGACTCAATCATCTGCCATGGAAGTTCTGAGATGGTTTTTAATAAGTTTTAGGGCAGAGAAACTTATTTCACAAGACGCAGTACTGACAGGTATTTAAAGGTCTTTGCAAGCCTCAAAAGCTCATGAAACACTTTCCAAACGTTCCAAAAGGACAAGGAAGTCCAACGGGGACTCTCTAATCCATTTTTTCCTCCCAAGAAGCCGCCTAGTTTGACGTACCTCATGCCTTAAGCATGAGGTACGTCAAACTAGGCCTAGGCCTTCAGTCAGATATAGTCCTCTATATCTGACTGAAAGGTTCTGCCAAATGAAAACAGGGGCTCTTCTTACAAAAATATTTTGGGGTTAAGCGACTGCACTCCATCCATAATCTTAGCTATTTTTTTTTTCTTTTTTTGTGTGTGAAAAAACGCCTTCTGCCAATAGACAATCCTGCACCTGTCTGCGACACCCTCTCATTCTCTGAAACTCAATTATATAAGCTATATTTTAATACAACACAACAAATTCCTCATCATCTCAAAACATACTGCCTCCGAGTCTGACCTTCAGGTTTCATGATCCTGATCTACAGGCCTTTTCCTAACAAAAAAAGGCATGTAGGCAATGTTTCCTCCTTTTCTTTTCATGTTTACACTAAAGGGAAGAGGGCGATGATACGATGGGCAATTAATAATGGAAAATACACACGCATGCACCCCGCACGCACACACACGCACACAGGCACGCAGACCCACACTGGCACACACAGGCACGCACACACACGCAGACACACAGGCACGCTGACACACGCACACAGGCGCGCATACAGGCACGCACACGCACACACAGATACACACACTAAAAGTTCTACAAACTGAACAAGTAATGCGCTGCAGTACGTGTGTCTATACTTTGTGTCAAATGTAAACGGTTGGCTCTGCGTTGCTAACTTACCTCTTTGTTTTCATCACGACTTGGGCACATGTGAGTCCAACAACCCAAAACATTATCATACAGCACCGGCTCCACACGGAGTCAGGGTGCGTTCACAGACGGGGGAAACCGTGGGAATTTTTACCTTTTGGCGAAAAAAGTGCGGAAGATTCTCAAGATTAACATTATTACATTGCCGTCTTCCGAGGGGGGCACTGGGGGTGGCAAGGATATTTTTAGAGGTGGCAGTGGCCACCCTGGCTACCCCTCTGGCTCCGCCACTGGGTGTAGGCACTTGATTTTATGAATAACTCACGCAGTAACATTTGGGACTCTCTAAAATATAATCTTGGTAATTCGTCCCACAGAGATCGCCTAGCCTAACCTTAAACTTTATCCACAACCCTAAACTTAAATGAACTGTTGATAACCCTAAACTGCAACCCTAAAGTGCAACCTTTCTTAATCACACATTTAAATAAAACATAGCAACAACACTATGCCTGGAGCGAAATACCAGCGTTTCCCAGTCGCCTCAGTATTACTTTGGTTTTCGCCTATTTGATGGCGCCCTCTAGCGACCACATAGGAGACTGCCGTTTTCTCGTCTTTAGTAGTTTGCAAAGTTTGCACAGTTTGCACACTGGAACCAAGTCACTGCTCTGAAGAGACGCTGACACTACTAACCCATATCATTCTTTACTTTGTGGATGTGCATCTAGTACTGCGGTCCTGTGGTGAGCGGGGGGCGAGGGGAGGTCCCAGTCCCTGCAGTCTTTCACAGTCTACATGGTCCCAGCCCGTCATTCTGACACCGGGCGGCGGACACCAGCAACAACTATTTATTTAGTGATCGCGAAGGGGGGACGGGCTTGCATCGCGTCTGCTTCTCAGTTTGCGGTGGTCAGCTGTGGTGGAGACATCATGGTCTTGTCGCTGCGGAGCTGGCTGGCCAACGAGGGAGCCAAGCACTTTATCTTGGTGAGAAAAGTTTATTTATGTATTATTTTTTATTATATACTGCTGTTGCTGAATGTTGTTTTTTGTGTATTGTTGAGTTTTTGCTGCTGCTCGTACACTTAGCAGTTTTAAAGGCGACACATGGCAAATGAAATGGCTTTAATTTTGTGCAGTTGCTGTGGCTGGGGACGAATGCCTGGTTATTTATCAGGACGTTTCTGCTTTACTCCACGGGACCACAGTACTACTACCTCCACAAGATGCTCGGGGTAAGTCAAAATGTGTCAAAATGATGTGTAGAATTTTTGTTATCGTTGAAAAAATGATGGGTTCATAATTCAATATTTAAAACATGCATTCATAAACATATTTATGCACATACAGTTGAAGCCATACGTTTTCATTCACCTTTGCAAAAATACTTGTCACCCAAGTTTCTCCAAATATTAACGTCATGTATAAACTTCTGATCTTCTAATGAGTTGGTGTCATGAATCAAAGCTGAAATAAACCATATCCCCCTAATATTTTGACATTTAACGTTAAATGAATGCATTGATCTACCTGACCTAGCTTGCAAAGTCTTACTTGGATTAAATATCAAAAAATGTTGAAAAACGTGGGAGAAAAGCATTTTTTTTTACAGTATGGTATGACTTCAACTGTACACACATAGTTTATTATGTGAACTTCAGGCTACTACTGGGCTTACAAGCATAATTAATGAAAAGACAAAAACAAAACAAGTAAACAAGACTTGGATTGCTACAAAACAGTCTGGGGCAACCCGCTGTTTATGTTGGAGCATAATTTACCAAGTGGGAGGCATTTATTAAGGCATTATTAAACAGAGCAATCGTAAAAAGACCCAACATGGAATAGAGAACGTGTTGATACTACATATGAAGAGATGATAGAAGTGAAGCATGTGTGCAGACAGACCCAGGGGCAGAGGGGCAAGTGTGGGCACGCTATCTGACAGAATGCCTGGCCAAAGGGAGCAAGTTTATAAGCTTTGTTTCTCCCCTGCCTTTCTTCATGTGTGCACACGATGAGATGATGTAGATTCAGGGGAATTTTAACCAGGGCCTTATCTGTCTTGTGTGCTTGTGTATGTGCGTGTGTGTGTAGCTTATGTGATGGGAAGAATTAAATCAGATCTTATGCTTGTGATTTGGCCTCCGCTGCATTTCCTTGTGTTTAGGAAAATGTGCAGCGCAATAATTGATTTGGAAACATATGCTACGAGAGCCTTTGTTCCGTGACTTTTCAGCAACATGTCCATAAATGTACACATACACATGAACTTTCTGCCTCATTAGCCCTTCACAGCATCAGCTAACAATTAGAAGTGTTTTTTACAGCGGTGGGAATAATCAAAAGAGACAGCACCTGCAGAGCACACAAGAAAGTGTTTCATTCTGTTTCACTGATATCTCTCTCTGTATTTAATGATAAAAACAAGTTTGCAGTTATTTTCTCTTTTACAAGTAGGCGGTCCTTCACTAATGGATGTAATAATGAATACTTGTTGTTTATCCCTCAGCTTGGCCTCTGCATGAGCCGTGCGTCTGCCTCAGTGCTCAACCTGAACTGTAGCCTGGTTCTGCTGCCCATGTGTCGATCCCTTCTCACATTCTTCCGAGGGACACAGAAGGTAGACATTCACTTCAATTCAAATAGACCTGGGTGCTATGCACAGGCTATAGATCCTGAGTCCTGGATCTATAGCCTGTCCGTCCATGAGCGCAGATCCTTCTCTCAATATGGGCCTCACTGTTTCCCACTGGGTTCCTTTTCAGTTGTTCCTTGCAGATGAGGGAGGGTCTAAGGACAGTGATGAACCAAAACATTTAAAGATATATATTCACATTGGTCCGCCAGCTCCCTGTAGACCTGGATGTTTTTCAATTATTGCATTTCTTGTGTTTCAAAACTACAACAATTTTGGAACTACTGCTGTTGGGATTTAGGGATATATGAAAATAACATTGAATTGAAATTGAATTTACTCCAAAGAAGTGCAATGAGTGCCGAATATAAAACATGGTGATCACTCTTTCCGGCTATTTCTTTCAGGTGTCCAGCAGAAAAACGCGCCGGCTGCTGGATAAGAGTAAGACCTTCCATGTGGCGTGTGGAGTCGCCATCTGCATCTTCTCCGGTAAGAAGTGTCCCTCCTCTGCGCCCATGAATCCCCTGCATCATGTGGTGGTGTTGATAACGGAGGAGTGGTCTGGGGCTGGCTCAGCATTCCTGCACTACCAGCTGTGAGATCTTTCCGGAGGCTGCGGCGGGTTTATTTGGAGTCGTGTTGTGCCTTTATGCACGCGTGAGTCTGTTCATGACATCATGGGAACAGCTGTATGTCCGGAGCCAACTCTAAAGGAAAAGCAGATTTCTTTCTATATCTGTTTATGTAGAAAATACATGGGACTGTTGCATGATACTCATCACAAAGTACTTACTGTATATAGTGTGTTCTTGCCATCTAAAGGCAGAAGAATGGTGTTGAACAGAGGGCCCTGGTGTCGCATTATCAGTGTGCCTTATACTGTATCAGCCGTCAGACAGCTGCATGTTCAGCCCATGACATCAGAATGGGAGTTTTACCCTGTGAGTCAGGAATATGTTTTGCTGACTTGCTTTTCAGGGACAAAAACTCTCAGTCTGGAGATAATATTATTGAATTAACCCTTAACACGCCAGAGTTTTCGCAGGAATTTGGTGTGAAACAGGAAAAAGGTGCAGCTCTGATACTTTACGAGAGATAGAGGACTAAACCAAAATCAACAACAGAACTGGATGAATTAAAAACATTTGTGAAATGCTTTTGTTGAAGTATAGAAAGCTGTATAGAAATTCTGAGACTTGTACTTTATTTTCTCAATATGTTTTTGTTGTTCCTCTTTCTTTTATAGTTGTGCACGTTTCTGCTCACCTCGTGAATGTTGTCAACTTCAGTGTCAGCTATTCAGAAGAATTCCCCGCTCTCAATCTGGCCCGCTACAAAGGAGAGGTGAGGAACTGTGTGCCCGATTTCCATTTTCAGTTTCAGATTATAGACTAGGTCAGGGGTTCCCAACCGGTTTGACGATTCCCCAATTTTGGAATCGTTTTTCTTTACATATGACATTTTTACAATATTCAATATTCATTCATAGAAACTTGAAGTGATACAATAAAATAAACAAAATAAAATAAACAACTTTAAAACAAATTTTGTAAGCTCTACATTCACTGATCTGTGATGGCGAGTCGACGGCTTGTAAAGTGCTCTGAGAAGAACTACTGTTGTGATTTAGAGCAATACAAAAAAACATTGAATTGAATGTTTTGATGCTTCAGATTACTACTAAATGAAATTGTTTACATTTGTGGGGGTTGCAAGATTATTTCAAACCAATTTCGGGGGGTCCTGGCTTGAAAAGTTTGGGAACCTCTGGATTAGTTCGATTTGTTGAATCAAATTATTTTCATAAATGTTGTAGACATTGAAGTAGCAATAATTAGCCACCTCCTGCATATTGTTAATCGCTTCTAATTATGTAACCTGGTTGTTGTTATCCGCTCCAGCTCTTGCATTGGCGCTTGAAACTCTAATACATTTTAACTTTTTAGGATCCCAAGATGATTGTTTTCACTACAAGTAGGTTCCTTTGTTCATTTAAAATGGTGATAATTACTTTTGAAAATCCAGTGACGCTAAATGTTTGTGTGTTTTTGTGTAGTTCCTGGTGTCACTGGAATCATGCTGGTTCTCATCCTGTTTTTAATGTTTATCTCATCATTCCACTGCATTAGGTAAGTCTTTATCCTGGTTTATGAAGACTATTGTGCGGTGCAGACAGTCCAATCCTGTCTCAGCCCATGCCTGCTCACCTTTGTCTTCGGACAGCGTGACTCACCTGTTGTGAGATGGAACAAGCAGAACCAGAGATCTGTCAGGGAGCAAATCCTGCCTAAGTGTTCCCCTCTCGGCTCTGTCATTACCAGGTCACAGAGGGTCGCGCATTGTACACATGTGGAGTTAAGCACCCTGGAGTGTGTCTGTGTCTTGATGAACTCTTCTTCAGATCGTTTCAGGACCAGACTCTACTGAAATACAATTGTTCCAAGGAGATCAATTACCAGTTTGTGTTTGTCCTGTTTTTCCCCCTCGTTTCTTTTTATTATGATATGTAAAAAGGGCTAGGAGAGAGCTCTGATCTTGGTTTTATGACGGGTCGTTGTGTGTAGTGACCCCTTTATGCTGACCTCAGATGTGCTGCTTGCTTTTCTTTGAGCCAGGAGCCTGGAAGTCTGCTACTGAACTAACTTTAAGATCAAAAATACTTGTATGAGTGCTGTCCAGGCTCTGATCATGTTGTCCTTCCTTCTATCTTCCTGCTACACTGGCCTGCCGCAAAATAGCTAATTGAATTGTATTATTAAATTATGATTTCCCACAACCCTTTTCTCATTCAGACTTTATGCATTCAATTACATTTCTATATTGGTCTGTGTTGCAGGGCTTCCAACTTTGAGATCTTCTGGTACACACACAACCTTTTTATAGTTTTCTACATAATCCTGATGATGCACATTGTTGGGTATGTGTATTTTTGTAGTGATGATTGAAAGTTAAGTCATAATGATGAGTTAACTAAATGTTCTTTGTGCAGTCAGTAGGTTTATAATCTTTACTTTGGTTTTGTCCAGTGGTGCTTTGAAGTACCAGACCAATATGGAGGCACATCCCCCTGGTTGCTTCAGATCAAACCAGAACATCACAGAACAGCAGAGACGTGAGGAGGAGCAGGCTGAGGCTGCAGGGCCGCGGTGCAGGGAGGAGCCCGACTTCCACCATCACTATCCCCAGGTGACTAAACGTGAAACTGAGAATATTCTTTGGCTAAATTCTATGAATAGCTTTAGGACTTTGTTCTGTCCATATGCACTTGGGAGAGTGGGAGTTGTTTCACATCATTGAAGGGGTAGTGCAGTCTGGGAGGGGCTGGGATCCTCCTCTAACACCAAGCTTGTGTGATTCTGTGTTTGTGCATAGGCTGCAAACTGGTCTCGTAAAATCACCTTCAAACCTGATTGTGAACTGATGGCTTTGCTCAACCCCTGACCCATTAAGGGGGACTTGCCAGACATGAGTAGGCCTGGGAACCTCAATGTACTTTGTGCCAGTACTTCAGCACTTTTGCCATAGGAATCCTTTTCTAGAATAGTTTATAATGCTAGTACGTTAGATCAAATAAAATAGATGATGAAGCCTGCTTACTCACATTTTATTTATTACGACAACGTTTGGATTCCAACATACTAACTTACTAACCACGTTACTTTTACATGCATACAAAGGATAGTGGATGAGTTACATCCACTGTCCTTTACTGCAAACTAAGTTTGTAGTACTTTGAGTTTGAGTAGTGTAGTAATTGCTTTCAAAGTCCAGACATTTCTTTTGTTTATTTCCTTTAACTGTTAAGTAACAAGAAGAAAGATTCAGTTCGGAATTAGCAGACACGTGATCCTCTCACACAGCGTTCAAAGAAAGTTGGATTCATGTGACTAAGAAAGCTTATTTGTGCCAAACATAATAGTGTGAAATTTGATATATGGGTCTATTAATAATTATCATTACGGTGGGGTCTTCTGTGATAGACTTGGCTGTGGGTGTCTGCTCCCCTCTGCCTCTACTGTGCCGAGCGTGTCTACCGCTATATTCGGAGTAGTGACCCTGTGACTATAGTGACTGCCACAAGACTCCCCTGTAATGTCATGGAACTGCGCATGGTCAAGAAAAACTTCAAAGCCCGCCCAGGACAGGTACTGGAAATCTGCTTTTGATTGAATTGAAATAATGTTGTATCGTTCATTCATTCATTCATTATAAAAAACAATGTAGTATTATTCATTCATTCATTCATTAACATCCACTTTAATCATCCATGTCTGGGTTACAATCAGAGCAGCCACCGGCCCCTCGCTGATTCTCCTGCAGGTGGTGGGTCCACGGGAAGAGGGCTGCTCCGTGACACAGCCTTGGTGTTTCAGCGGGGACTTCAGGCAGAGTGGGATTAAGTGTCTTGCCCAGGGACACAACAATAGCAGATTTCAGTGGGAGCAGGACAGAGTATAGGTCTTGTGGGGGGATCGAACCCACGACCATTAGGCCTGTTGACTAATGCTCTACAAACTGAGACACTGTCGCCCCCAGTGTAGTATCAGCAGCTGGAATCTAGGATTAGAGGCTTTTTGATCTGTTTCTTATGTTTCTCCACATCTATAATCTGTTTTTGTTTGTTCTCAGTATATTTTACTCAACTGTCCAGGTGTCTCTTCTTTTGAGAACCACCCCTTCACACTGACAATGGTAAGAGGATTATGCATCTCACCTTTTCCATGCCATTTTTTAACCATGACCTAATGCATACGTATTTAAACACACTTTTACCCATATAATTTTACTGTCTTAAACCTCCTTCCCTCATAATGTTCTTGACATAATGTTAAGAACCTTATGTCAACCTCTCGCTGTCTTCGGTTGCCATCTGACTGACAACAGACCTCTAAAATAATATTCTGTTTTGTACTTCTTAAGAGATAAAAACGACGCAGTGTAACAGGCCGAGACATAATAAAAACGTGCGCACAAAGACTTATTTTCTGCACGTGCGCATATGTGTACACAGTGTGCACATGCCTCTGCTGGTGTGTTATAAAGCTTTGAGCTATTACACTGTCAGGAAGCAGACAGACCCCTGAGGCTAGTAATGAGACCTGCCAACTTCAGGCCAGTCAGCGTGTGGAGGTGTGCGCATTGTTACAGGAGGAAAAAAAAAGACTTTGGCCATGGTTAATATCCTTTGGTTTGATGGCTCACAGGTATTCTGCTTTCTCCTGCTTATTCAGTGGGATATATGCATTACTTTAATTGTGGAACAGCTTAACCCTTTAAGGTTCGTTCCTTGAAGGACGCAATGTCAATTTTTCAAAATGTGGGAGCACTAATAACACAAATTATTATTATTATTTTTAACCCCTAGTTTTTTTTTATTATAGGCCTTCATCAAATGGTTGAGTGATAGAGATGCCCCAGTGAGGTAGACTTCAGTTTCAAGTATCAAGTAGATAAAGTGACTCAAAAAAGTGATCCACCAAAGAGTTGAGGAAACCATTATAGGGTTAACAGAGCAGCTCAAGAAATGTCCAAATACAAAAAAAAATTGGTTAATTATTCAAAATTCGCATTATAATGGAGCTTTCGCGAAAGTTCACTGTGGTAGACCCGGCTGCTGCTGCCCAGGCCACAGGCTGCTCTTCCTCGACTCATCAATACCAGCAACGCCCACATCCAGTCAACCAATAACCACCAGGACAGCAAGTTAAAAGCCGGAGACTCCCACTTCCCGGCCTTCTGAAGTCTGCAAGCCTCCGCCGCCCCACCTCCTCCTTCTCTCATCGAAGCGTGCTTGCCTACTGCCTCTGCCGCCACCAGTACCTAGGCCCCGGGGGGGATTATGCGCGCGAGCAAGCGCCGTGCTCAACAGCATCCCTCCCGGGCCTGGGGCGCCAAACATACTCAATCAATAAACATGCTTAAATCTAATAAGTCTAACGGCATTTTCCTCATGGGTCTATCCACGGTGAAATGGCACTATAGCAGCCGCTCAAATTGGACAGATAAAAAAAAAAAGATTTCTCAAATTACAATGTTGTGGTTTCATATCTAAAATTGTGTTTAAAGATGGCAAGCACTCTGAGTGACTAATGCTTTCTCACGAATCCATACAAAAATAGATGTAAGTTAATTATAGTTGATCATACAAGACAGTCACCACTACTGGGGTTATTAATAATCTCATAACTGAAAGATAGGCAAGGCAAGGCAAGGCAAGTTTATTTATATAGCACAATTCATACACAAGGCAATTCAAAGTGCTGAACGATACAAATAATCTTTTTAAAAAGCTTTTATCAGATTCTCAAGGACGTTTAAAATTTAAAATTAGACCTGTGGGATCATTCATGATAAAGATTTTAGTGTCTGTTTGTTATTGAGACTGGTAAGGACTGAGTGATTCTTTAAACTTTTCACAGTGTCCCTCAGAAAACAACCAGAGCTTCGGCGTCCATCTGAGGGTGGTTGGTGACTGGACTGGTGGGTTCACTTCACATCATACACCCACACACACAAATATGCAAATACATGGAGAGTCAGACACTGATACAAGAGCAAGAAAGAAACAGTCTGTCCTCTATCAACGTTCACAGGATGTGGTTCAGTGGCATTCTGTTCTCTGACAAAAATGACATTCACAAACCTCTTTGTCCGAGAGTCAGCATAAAGCCTACATCTCCCAGTGCTTATAAATGATTGTAATGCTTTATTGATACTCATCCATTTTGCCTATGGATAATTTCATTTGTTTTACCTCCACAAAGCTCCAATGTTCTTTGTACAAAAGTCATCGCGACAGGAAATTGACTTTTGCAATCCTGTGACAGAATCTTTGCAATTCCAAGCCCTTCTTTCACGCAGCTGTTTCCAGAAACAGGAAGCTGGTATATTTATTTTAGCCCTAAATTGCCGGATATTGTCACAATGCTTTCACATTATAGTATGTCCTACTGTACATTCTCTGCTTTTCCATCATGGCTAAAATGTACAGAGATATAAAGATATTTGAGCTTTTCTGTTGTAGATTTGGTTTCAACTCTTTAGGGCTTTAATTAATGATTAAACTTGATCATTAATAGTTGGCCGATTAGTCTTTTGATGAATTGGTAAGTTGTTTGGATATATAGAAAGTTCAGTGAATATGGCATTGTTTATGCATTTGAGCAAAACAAAGCTGAAGTGATGACCATGGTCAAAGAGATGACTGTTACACATTTGGTTGTTTGATTAAAAAAGCTTTGTAAACACACTTTCATTTCATTCCATCATTGTTGAATCATCCGAGCCAAAAAACCTCTTCTCTGCATCTTTAAGTCCTTGGTTAAGGTATATGTAAGTTTACGCTTCTACCCATGTCTGCGTAGGTATCCTCCAGGTGCTCCGGTTTCCACTACCACTAAAAACGTTTTCAATAGTCTTCTAAATAACACCATCCCTGACCCCACACACCCCCAGCAAGACTTGGGACTTTCCTAGTTTCAAAAAAAGGTCAACGTAAGGTTAAAAAAACAACAAATCGATTACTAAATTGGTTGAAAACTGTTTCAATAATCGATTAGTTACAGCCCTATAACAATCTGACCGTCCTTTATGTTTTCTCTCCTCCCACAGATCAGTTCACACAGCTTCTCCTCCCCCCACCAAAGCTAGGCCTCGAAATCCTTCCCATGGTGCAACAGAGGAGATATCCCAAGTGCGTATTTGTGTATGTGCACGTGTGTCTGTGTGTGTGTGTGTGCGTTTGTGTCTGTGTGCATGTGTGTGTGCGTCTGTGTGCGTCTGTGTGCGTGTGTGTGCGTGTGTGTGCGTGGGTGTGTGTGTGTCTGTATTTGTCTGTGTGCGTGTGTGTGTGTGTGCATCTGTGTGCGTGTGTGTGTTTGTGTGCGTCTGTGTGCGTGTGTGTGTGTGTGTGCGTGTGTGTCTGTGTGCGTGTGTCTGTGTGTCTATATTTGTCTGTGTGCGTGTGCGTGTGTGTGTGTGCGTGTGTGTGTGTGTCTGTATTTGTCTGTGTGCGTGTGCGTGTGTGTGTGTGTGTCTGTGTGTGCGTGTGTGTGCATGTGTGTGCGTGTGCTTGTGTGTGTGTGAAGCCACAGACATAATATCAAACGAAGGCTCAAATTCACATGGGGTCAGAGGTTGCGGCCTCCTGACCACTGAGCCCTCTTCTTCCTGCTCTGTTTATGAAAAAGTCATTGATGCAAAGTGTCATTGGGGGCAGCGGGAAAGAAAGTTTATTTAGTGTGAGCAAATAGCACTGCAAACCTCTGTGTAACTTGGTTTGAAATGTCATTCTTTAAATTAAGCCTTTTAGTGGTCATTCCATAAAAAATACAATTTAGGATGTGCTTTATCTACGTGAGAAACAGATCAACTTTATAGGAACAAACAAAAACAAAAACAATGTCTAACCCCTGCTCTGCTTTACTCTGGTCTACCTGGTTGTGTTTCCATTACAGCCTAGTATCTGGAACCGTATCCTAGCAACCTACCAAGCAAAGTGATGCTTTCCAATTCTAAAATGTAACCCCTCCACTTGCGATGTCATGGAATTCCAACACAAATATTGCCATTATCTGAGAGTTTAAACAACAGTCAATACATTTCTACTTCAGATACTATATCTAACTATACAATAGATGCACTTTGGGGTTGCTATGGTAACTTGCATCAAATCTATTAGAAACAAAGCGTTAGAAAACATTGTAATTATGGTTCATATCCATGTTAAACGTACCTACATTTTGTTTATAAGAAATACATTTTGTTTGTCCCAACATATAGTCTTGTAAAAGTATCATTCGAGCAAATCGGACCTCAACATGCAGTATTTATCTTATAAGAAAGCATTTTATCTTTTGCATAGTTGTTAGAAAGAGCCCTGTGAGTCCCTATGTCACAAAAGTAGATTTAAAGCAACCATACTGTTTTGAGAGTGAGGAACTATGGGTATTTAATCATATGAGAAATCTAACATGCTTTAGTTTAGGGGCTTCAAGCAACAATTGTTTATGGCATTTTTTTTCAAACAAATAAGGAATCACTCTCCTTAAAGCCTATAAATACACATACGCACATGCAGGAAGCCAATACAGACAATACCCAGCTAATTCTTGGCGCTTATACACAGTGGAAGTGACCATGCAAAGGTTCTGACCAAACAAAACCTGGATCATAAACCTGACAAGATCCATTTGGTCTTCAATTACAAACCTGAAAGCTTTTTGACTGTTGAGGACTTTGGTCAGTATTGAGTTCAGATGACGCCTTGATGAGCTCTTTTGTTGCTATGTGGATTTGTAAGTAAATGATATGAAAAATAAGTGAACTGCATGTTTAAACTTTGACGAATGTCTTTGTGTGTGTTTAGGATTTACGTGGATGGGCCGTTTGGTAGTCCTTCAGAAGATGTATTCAACTATGACGTCAGCCTCTGTGTGGCGGGGGGGATCGGGGTCACACCGTTTGCCTCTGTGCTTCACGCTTTGCTGTAGGTTCAATAACAAACTAACAATAACATCTGAATGTACCTATAATGTATTAACCATAGACCACACTTTCTTCTCTCAGTGACAGGTGGACGGGCTTCAGATTGAGGAGATTATATTTTGTGTGGGTCTGCAGGGAGCCCCAGTCCTTCTACTGGTTTGCTGACTTGCTATGTGCACTGCATCAAAAGGTCAGAAGGATTTTAATGATTTACTTTTTAGAATATCAGATTATTACATACTCACATACAATAAAATAACTAACACATACAATAAAAGTTGTCCACTAGCAGCAGAAATACATTCATACACACACAACAAATAAATAGATCAATCATTCTAAAAATAGTTTTAAAATGCAACTTTAGGTCACAGCAGCAGAGATAATAACCTTTTCATGTCTTCATTACAATTACCATACATGACAATTTCAAACTTTCATACAATTGTATACCTTCAATCATTCTAACTATAGTTTCATTTTTTATTATAGCTTTGGATGGAAAACAGACCAGACTATTTCAATCTGAAACTGTATCTCAGTCAGGCTGGCAAGTTGCAGGTATGGCCATGCAGTATACACACATCCATACTTTTACCACTAGAGGGCAGCAGACTGTCATTCCAATCAGCCCATGAACCAGAGGAGGGGGGCTTGGTTTGAAGTCTAATTTTACGGGACTATATTCCAGACATTTTCTTAATGGCTAATTGATAAAAAAACACAACAGTCCGTATTGGTCACGTTACTTAAAGAAATAAATATAATCTTTTCCCCAAGAGTAATTAACTCATTGACTGCCAGCCGTTTTTGATGATTTTAACTGACTTTCAAGACCCACAGAATATTGTGTGCTGTGACTATGTAAAATATGAAACCAGATTCTGAACGATTCTGAACGGGAGGAGGCCCCGCGGAAGACCTAGGACACGCTGGAGGGACTATGTCTCTCAGCTGGCCTGGGAACGCCTTGGGGTCCCCTCGGACGAGCTGGAGGAAGTGTGTGTGGATAGGGAAGTCTGGGCGTCTCTGCTTAGACTGCTGCCCCCGCGACCCGGCAACGGATAAAGCGGAAGAAAATGGATGGATGGATGGATAGATTCTGAACGATCGGACTGTCTATTTTCATCAGCAAAACGATGCCGTTTTCTAGCTAGTTCTGTTCTGCTGTAATCTTCTGTCGAATAGAGAGAAGTTTGACAGAAATCGCCAGTCTCAGCCAAATACGTCAATGGCAGTCAATGAACTTCACAGTTAACTTCACTACTTGATGGTGAAAGTAACTAATGCACTTTTTTAAATAATTATTTTATTATGTTAACCACTTTGCTCTCGTCTGGACTATATTTCATGTAGGGGAGTACATTTTTCTTTTCATTCAAAAAGTACACTTGCATAGGATTCACATTATTATAGTTTGTGTACTTTTCGTTCAAACTCTGTCATTTATCACTGATTATGGTCACTGATGATTTTACTGTGGAAAACAATCAGTGATGTTTGAAATCCTTAGGACCAACGTTATCCCTGAGTTCAGCAGAGACTTCACTACACACTTCTGGAACTTCTGTTTCTTTTTGATCATGATTCTCCTTCAAAGCTTCACCTGAAACATGCCCACGTCCTTCACCTGGTTCCTGATTTGGAGCAGTTCAGAGAAAAGTACAAACTATTCTGTGTATAGACTAAGAGCCAATGGTTAGTTGCTTGGAGGATAAAAGGATAGTCAGAGTCAGTGTGGGGGTGCAGGGCAGGACACTGTACTGTCTTATTTGTTTTATTTATTTCCCAGAACATATCAGAGGAGAAATACCAAATGCTCGCTTCAAGACTGCAGATCGGGCGACCCAAGTGGAAGCAGCTGTTTAGTGAAATTGGACAGGCTAATGCAGGGTGAGTAGTATGTCGGAAAATTAATACATGTTCTACTTTCCCCCCTAAATATATAATGTTTTTGAACACAGTTATTTTTGACATAAACTGTTTTATGCAAATGTTATAGGCCGACTTGTTCTCTCTTCTTTTTTATTCAATTCAATTCAAATAACTTTATTTATCCATGAGGAACTCCTTTTACATTGGTATTGCATTTTAAATGCTATACCAATTTACATTTAAAATCTAGATTCATGGGTTGATAAAAGGCAGATGAAAGAATTCTGCTTGAAAAAGTACTTTTCCACATTTTGTCGCAATCACTATTTTCTTTTTTTATTGTAATTTTTTTTGTGAAAGACCAAAACAGTGGTTCACAAATCTAAAGTATTCAGTCTCCATAAGTTAAGTCTAATTATTTACCTATGCTTATTTGTAAAACAGCTCAAGTTCCATCAGTAGACCGAGAGCGCGTTTGACCAGCAGTTTTTAGATAATTCCGTAGTTTCTGGATTAGTCTGGACTTCTTATTAATATATTATTGAATATGAATATGTTTCGAGATTAGAATTCACTCCGGTGGATTCCACTTAATAGTTAGGTGCCCATTTGACCGTTCATACTCTGGAAACTTCCAACGGTAATTGGTTACATTTAGGAAAAAATAAGGCTGAATTCTTTTGCAATTCCCACTTTGCAGATTCTATAAAAGAAAAACGTTTTTGTTCACCTAATTTTGCCAAGTGGAAAAGTTTATGGGGTATGAATACTTTTTCAAGCCACTGTGTGTATTCTTTACATATAATAATGGAAAGATGAATGATCTCTTCCTCACTGACACAGTCTATGTGTTTCCCATCATGTAGAATACTCTTTTAATATAAATACATGGGAGAACTTTTCAATGTTCTGTTTGTGTACTTCTTGACACAAACGCTATTTACTGAAAGGCTTAATCACAACAAAACACTGTTAAACACACATTTTCAGTTGTATTTGATGAATGAATCTCTGAGTGTGACATCACAGCTCTCTGTCACTGTTTCAGACGGAGAGTGGGCGTGTTCTGTTGTGGACCTAAAGGCATCTCCAGGACTCTGCACAGACTCTGTAACTCCAACCCACACACTGGAACCATATTTGAATTCAACAAGGAATCCTTCAGCTGATGAAAGAAACAGGTCTTTCTCAATCCAGAAATCCATTCTTTTGTAAATTACCAACTTTATACTTGAAGCAATATACAGAAACATGTAAACAGTCCTCAGATGAAATGTATTTACTGTTGTTACACTGACAGTGACTGAGACCACTGCGTACAAACTCATGTTATATAATAACTTCATGATCGTGGGGCTGTGCTCCTGGTCATGGCATTTATTACATACTTTAAGTTGGTTTAAAACAACAGTGAGAACATTATGGTAAATGTCTTTACACTGCCTTTTTTGGTAACTTCTTTGTGAAATAATATGAATAAATTATTTTATTTATTTCATGGTAATGTATACATTGTATTTTTTACGGTAAAGTTTTCCATTATTAGGCCAGTTTCAGGATTGATTCTGGTTTGATAATGATGACATTGCTGTCAGCACCGTAAACATGCAGGTAATAAATATAGCACAGAATGTGTTATTCTGCACAGCTCAACTACAGCATGTTTCATGAGGTATCCTCTTTGTAAAGCTGTGGCCCCTGACCCTTGTGTAGTCCACGTTACAGGTGTGTTTGATAAGAGCCCTCTTCTGAGCTGCTCTGCAGCAGTGGCTGTCTCTCTCCAAAACTGGAAGCTCTCTTCTTCCTCTGACCATGTTTCATCTTTCTTCTGGCAGCAATAAAGACTGAAACAATTAGGACAGCAAGGACTGCTCCAAAGAGCCCGGCTCCCAAAAGCCACTGCCAGATCTGCTGGGCCTGCTCCAGGTATGGTGTCAAAACCTCCTGTACAAACCGTTGGCCTGAAATGACAAGGGACTCGTCAAAAGCACTCTTTACACAAAGAAGATAAACGCATGTGTACCACTGACCTGGGTCCAGCAGATAGGCATATTCATATCCAAGATTCTTGTTGGTTATGAAATACTCTCCATTTCTATAAAGAGGCATGAATGGCACCATGTAGTAACCCTCATTGTGACCGATTGGTGCGTTGGCCCGTGGGTAGTTGGAGCGAGGAGGCTGGTGAGTTCTGAGCCAGCGCTCATATATACTAGAGAGAAAAAGCGAGCCGCTGCTTTTAATGACGTCTGTACATTGAACGTGGATCTGAAGTATGTGCGTGCACTACCTGTCGATGAAAGCGTGGTGCAGCAGAAACACCGGGTCATTGGCCGAGCCCTGGACTGACGACATGGTCCCATTCATGAACACATGAAGTGCATTGTGCATTGTGCTTTGGCCTGGCACGGCCAAACCTGTAGTTGGACTGGCAAAACCTGGGAAAGAGCTATTTACAATAGTGAACAACAACTTGTTTCATTTATAACAATGGACTCTTACCCTCCAGGACATTTCTGAAGCTCATGTTGGAGAACCGGTCCATGGCTCCTGTCTCATACTGGGACAGGTTCACAACAAAATCCACATCAGCTGCTGATGGAAGTCGCTGCACACGGTTGGTATCGTGGTTCCCGGGGTTCCGCAGCAGCGGGCCCTCCCCAGTGGCGTTGCACAGGGCCTCTCTGCTGTTGTATTCCTCAGGCTGGGTGCAGATCACCTTCACACACAGTTCAGTTGTGGTAATAGTATTACAACAGAAAAAAGTCAACTAATCTTACATCAAAGTGTATTGTTTGAAAAACACAATTATGCCACGGTGTGGCGAGGATATTCTTTCTGCTAGAAGTACTGTATAATCAAGGAGAATTAAAGAACAACCTCATTTAGAAAACGTATGCCTGGAATGCATTTCCAGATGGATTAACAAGAGAAGATTAAAAACAATTCCTGCCAACAAATATGACTGGCTTTGGGAGAGAATTCATTACTGAATTTAAGTATTTAGAGTCTTTTCATCACATTATTTTTACATGTATAACACATGGAAGATTAGTGACAATAACAAATGCAATAATAATAAATAAATAAATAAATTCATACTTTCCATGACGAGAAGACAGAAGCAGGACTGATGAGGTTTGGATTGAGTGCATTGCGTGCACCCATCAGAGCATCTGTGCACACCTCACAACTTTGGGCATTTCTCCAATCCCAGTAAGGAATAGTGAAATTAAAATCCCCAGTCAGTTTCCTGATCTCATTCTCCCAGTGAAGGAGGAAGACTCTGTGCCAGGGCAGAAAGGCTGCTGATTCATGGGCAAAGTCAATGTCTCTCCACACATTTCCTGGTCCTCCCAGAAAAGCATCTCTGGACACATAGTAATGCATCCAGACGAACAGGTCATAGGAATTGATGTCTGAAAACATGGGGTTCTCTCCATCTGCACCCATCTCTGCTCTTGTGCCAGTGGAAATGACATAGTCTCGGTTTACAGTGTTTTTCGCCAGATTCAGATAGGATATAAACTTTTGTTGTTCCGCAGTTGAAAGAGTGAGGATGTTCCTACGGACTGATTCACGGTACTCAGCGCAGTTGCCCCCCCTGTAACCAAACCTGCATTCTCCACAGTTAAATCCTCCATAGTTCCCAGCACATCGGCACGTTCTGTTGAAGAAAGTGGTTGGCCAACGCTCTCTATCATCAATTCCCCTGTGAGGATACTGAGGTCCATACGGTTCATCAGAGACCTCCACCTCCGTGCAGAAGCCTCTCCCAGACAAGGCTCCGCAGGCCGAGCCATCCCCCTCCCACACCGGACAGCACTCTTTGGTTCGCAGGCCCTCGGAGGTGGCACAAGGTCGAGGGAACTGGCAGAGGCCACAGTCCAGAAGCACCAGCAGCAGCACCAACAGACACAGACTTCTCATGATGGTCTTGAAGATTTTCTAACTTACTCAGCACAAAATCACGCCGTCAAAAGCTTAAACTTTGTCATCCGCTACCTGTTTCAGTCTTGTTAAAAAGTCTTCAGAACCACCCAACTCTTCCAAACCACCTTCCACCCCTGCTTTCTCACACCCAGCCAGCAGACTCCAGCTCTCTCCCGACTCATTAATCTGTTTTAGGGGGCGGCCCCTGAACTCACTGTGATCTCATTGTGATCACTCACGCACCATTCGTTCTCTCCTCACACAATCACATGCTCAGGATAATATTTCTGATTCTTTTTGTCTCCAAACCAGCTGACTGCATTGTACCCCAGGCAGTAGTTTACCCTTTAAGCTTCAATCAAGGTCAAGTTTGGAGGATAAACAAATAAGGCATAAAGCAATGTTATTAACAGTTTGATCTCTATAGAATTGAGGGGATTATTTTGATTTCACATATCTTGATGGCATATAAAGCATGTTTATATAAGTGGTTATGTTTGAATAATATGTATTTAACAGTATTTAACAATAAGATGAGAATGGAGGCTAAAGAAAGTGGTCACAATCAGTGGTCCAGAATGTCAAACGTTCATAAACTCCCAGACAGCCTCCTCCTCTCCAGGTTGTGAACACTCGTGCTGGAGTTTTTGCGAAAGCCTGGATATCACAAGCCGATCACATGCCTCCACAGCCAGGCACGGGGTGCAGCTTATCCCGGAGTAGGAGAAGTGGAGCGATCAGGAATGCAGTCCTCAGGGCTCTTGTGCACACGCACTTGGAGACCAAGAATGTGCGGTTCTACGTCACAAAGATGTGGACTTCATTGAAAATCACTGTCAATCTGCGCTTTCTGTTAAGGCCTTTCGTTTCAAGGACCACTAGGGGGCGGTGTCCGTCTCCTGTTATTCTGCCAGTGGCCATATTATTTGAGTGTTATGCCTTTTATGAGTAGTTTTACATGTATGCAAATATGTTGTGAGTAGCTTGAGTGTGTATACAAACCACATGAAGTTTGAGCTTACTTATCAGGCTTTATGCCAATACAGAAATCATACCATAGTATCCTATTATCAATTTTATTAAGCTGTCAGTAGTTCATATATTTTGATATTGGTAACTGTTTACTATTTAACTAATTTAGTTTGTTTTTTAGGCTGCAACCACAGCAAAATGCTTTGTGCCTGTTATGAGGCAGACAGATACAGTGACAGCTCGCCCTGTCCTGACAGCTGCACTGACCAGAGGCTGCAGCTCTGATCTATTCTCTGGAGCAGACCAAAGCACACAACCATCTTAAAGTCACCGTTCAACTTGTCACTTACTGTCCATTAATATAAAAGAAGACATCATGCATATGCCGATGTTCTTCTCTCCTCTACTTCTAACCAGATAATGGCACCAGACAAGACAAATACTTACTCTATGTATGAAATTATTGTAAACTACTAGTATTACGAATTACATTGAACATACTTGTAATTATATTACAGGCACTAATATAATACTGTGTTGGGTGTAAATCCATTACAAGTCATTGGAGAATTAACATTTTAAAATAGTAACATCAGGATATACTCAGTATATTTCATAGTTATATATCTCACACAAGTTAAACAATAAAATGCAGCTTCAACATGCAGTATTTATATATATTATATTATTATATACATTTTATTTTGTATCAAATGAAGTCATCTCAAAGTTATAACTTTCTTGAGGATGTTACATAAAAAAGCAATTTGTAATGTGTATCTTACTCAACACTGATGGCAACAGCCTGTATTTGCTGACTCTGGGACTTCAAGGCATGTCTGGTTATGGAATAGTAGGCATGTTGTAGGCTGGAATTCTTGGTTACAAATGATTTTCTTCCAGCCTGTCATTTTGAAGACTTTGGCTCTGCCTAATTGCACAGATCAGGTTTTTATGGTGTTTTTCTGCTTCAGAAATTGAGTAATTTGAGGTCAGCCAAGCTATCATCAGCTAAATCCTTATCCAGTCTCCAAACTGCATCAGAAAAAGACAGCTTCAGATTGTAGGCCTACTTGTGTCTATGATGCTTGTGCATATCCATGCTCTTTTAATGGTCTACTAATCCCAAATGCATTTGGCTGGCAAATAAATCCAAGCTCTGGCATAGCCCGGCTTTAAAACCCCCTCTCCGCCTGCCTATGGCAGCTCATCTCTCCGGCCCTTAACTTTGGGCCTGGAGCTGTGTCTCCAGATGGCCTCAGAGAGGAAGGTGTTACACCAAACCCATGCCCACCCTGCAGAGGCGCGCGCCTGGGTGACCCTGCGTGACGTGGACAGAGCGTGTGGCGCGTGCAGTCTTCATGTGTTGCCATAGTGAACAAGTAGATTAAAGGAGCGTGATGCTGCGTGGATGTGGGGACGTGAGGGTGATGATGTGATCGGCAGTACGCGGCAATTGCTCCTCCCTGGGAGGTGTTGTGTCTGCGTTTGGCATTCAAATAGATTGTTACGTATAATATTCATGTAATAATTTATGTAATGATCAATATAACACTATAAAAAACTAGGTCACAATTTCATTGGTATTACCAGGTAAGTGAGTTTTTCAAACCCTTACACCTTTGTAGACCAACCAATGACCCAGTTTTAATGTTCGTAACAAAAATATCAAGTCTATTAATCTAATCCGTCAATACCGCTTTCAATTGGCTTTTTAATGGGCGTTTTAATGCACATCCATGTTTTATTTTATTTTTTATGTTTATTTATTTTATTTTCCGGTTATTGGGGAGAATGTGGACTTGAGGGGGCGCATGGTGCTCGTTCAATGCACGCTTTGGAAAAGTAACCGTATCGCTCTCTGGATGTAGACTGAGACAGAGAGAGAGGGAGTCAGACGCAGGCTCAGGTGCGTGACCAGAAAACGCACGGAGCTTGAAGGCAGCGCAGACAGACGCAGCCCCCGTGCATACAGATCCACAACACCAAAAAAAAAATAAAAAAAACATCACAAGCCTTCTCTTCTATTCAACTTGGACTGTTGCATTTACTACCCGGGGGTTGGAAGGATGGAAGTAACCACGAGGTAAGCGCTACAGTACGCATGCCAGCACGTCTTCACCGGTCCTATAGAAAGTCTAATATTACAGTCTCGCTTCTATATGCTGTATACATCCTTGTTTCATGACCAGAGACGTGCTTTTTCCACAGTGCGCGCATAGACTCGTCCCTTGTCATAGTTAGAGGTTATCCCGTATCAGCGGAGGATGCCCGTCTAAAGGAATATATTCGTTTCTAAAGCTTGGAAGTCAAAATAATTCAGATTCAATCCATGCACGGGGAAGCTGTGTGGATTTAAAACCATGTCTCTGTGATGTTGGGTAGCGTTTGTTGCCAGGATTCCAATTTCTCGTCGTGTGAATTTGCAGGCGCCTGGTCCTTGTACCATTGCAGTTACAGATGCAGTGCTGCGCCACGCGTTGTCTTGTTATCCAGAAGCTTAAATAAGAGAATTTGAATGGACAAAGACACTGGATGGAGGATTTAATCAAGTGACAATTCAAAGCAATGGGACATGTGGACGCACGCCCCATTGGTAACGCTGCTTTTGCTGAATGAAGTGATCTAAGGTCACAGCTTGTTTATGATGTGAGGACCTGTTCGCAGTGTCTTAATCTTCTGGTCACTTGTTCTTTATTTAATTATTGCAATATAACATTTTGATGGGAGGTTTACTATTCTGTGGTGCACCCTGTCTTTGGAGATGTTGGTGTCTTTGAAGATGACAGGTGCAACAACAGAGAATGACTTATTTTTGGAGCTTTCACACTGAGACTATTTAAGGTCATGGGCACAAGAAAAGAGCTTTTGAGAATGAGGCAAAGGGCAGAAGTTTCTATTCTGTGAAATGACAATATAATCCAGGACTCACTTCAATGTGAAAAGTATTCAGACCCAATTTCAATTTGCCAAACATTTAAATAGGGTTTAATCATGTTTATCTTTAATTGTGTTATTGGACTTTAATTCATGTAAATCAACAATTTTCTACAGCACATAGTGTCAATTACATTTTCCAAGCAATTTCACAACAACACTGTGTATCTCCCTCGACCCCCACTTTGGGAACTTGTGCGCACAGGTACAGGTGCAGTGGATTGTCCGCCATCAGCAGGAGAAATGACTTCAGAACAAATCCACAACAAAAGGGCATCCAAAATGTGTGTGCTACAGTTTTGCTATGACCAATAGAACAGATGAGATGAGTGTCATAGGGGGCCGTGCTGAGCAGTTATCTAACATGGGGGATCTCTAGTCTGTCTCTGCTTTGATTATTGATTACTCATTATTATTATGAAGCTATACCTTTAGAAATATATATTGAACGTATTCTACACATGTTGACTCATTGAGGAACGCATGACATCATATACAATGTTTTTTTTTTTTATTGACATTTCTTCAGAAACTCAGAAAGTCCCATTTAGATTTCAGAATATCTGAAGAGAGTGGAGCTATGTTTTAGATGGTAGGGGGAACCGGGGCGCACAGAAGAAACCTACGCAGACAGGCCCTTTCTGAAGATGGAATTGAACCCAGTCACAACAGTTGTAGTCTCAACTTTATAATGTTTTTGGTTCACCAATGACAGATCAGAGAAACAGTTTGTCTATAGGAAATGGAAGACCAATGTCTATAATTGTTAATGAATGTCCATAAAAAAATATGATTGAATAATTTGGCTATGTCTTCTGCTCGTAGGGTAATGTGATCCTGTTATGGAGATCGAGCCCACCTAACACGCGAGAGGCCTTGGGTTGTTTTGCCCAATAAGATCTCCTGCTGCACCTGTCTCAGCTGTTGCCGTAATGGTCTCGCCATGAAATCAGAAGAAAAAGAAGACACAAAGAAATCTCAAGTGCCACATTCCGAGAAAATGGACAGAAGAAGAGCAGTCCTGCAAACGTGCGACCAGTAACCGAATCAAAGCCTCCTGTCTGTACTTAAGTTCAACCTGGAACAACATGGCGATTTGGCTACTGCTGCTTTTGTCCATTTGGCTGGCGCCTGGAGGAACCCACTCTGCTCAGTCTAATGAGAGGAGGGTCGTGGCCCACATCCCCGGTGACATCATCATCGGAGCTCTGTTTTCGGTTCATCATCAACCACCTGCTGACAAGGTGAGCATCTTTCCACTTTAATATATGGAACTTATTTCACCGAGTCATGTTCAGTAACGTTGGCATCCTCTCTGTTGCTAAACGCATTTAAAATAGTGTTTTAATGGCATGGGAAAAAAAGATTAAAGTTAAAAGATAAAACTCCAAAATCCTCAGCAGTTTTGTCATGATCCTTTTGTGTGAGCTTTACAGAAATCCAGAATACCACTGGAAAGTTCAGTCTCCGCTGTTATTAGTTAGACTGCTCAGAGGAACATGTCTTCATACAGTGCTTTAGAGCAGAAGGATTGGATCAGTCAAGGCGGCGACTCTGACAAAAATAAATTACCCCTTTTTCACTAATCTCGATTTCTGATTTGACGCTTTCATTTAAAACCAAATTTAAAAAAGACAAAAAATATGTATTGCTGAATTTAAATATTGTGCCATATTCAAGCCAATCCCAGAGTGAGTGAGGTAACTGCCTCCTCAGCTTCTTTAGTGTCTTTCAGTTTGAGTTCACGTGTTGCTAATGAGGATCAGTTTTCTATGATTCTATCACCTCGAGCTTTAACATCGCTCTAAGTTGTGTGGTCTTCAAGTGTTTCTTATATATGTTGTTTCATGTATTTATTTATTTTTCCTGCTCTCATTTGATTTGATGGATAGAACTCAGATTGTGTATTTTACCCCTTTTTAGATGACTAATCAATAAACAGGACATATCTTAGATGGAAAAAGAGTTTATTTGGTAAACTACAGCCCTAATATAAAAAGTATATAAAAGTGGATTTGGAATGTATCTCTCCTTTTTACATAATTGCATAGCATCTGTTCCTAGAGGTTTTTGGTGGCATAGACTGTTTTTGCAATATATTCGAGGGCTGTTACAAGTAAAATGATTAATCAAGTTTTGCACCTTACATAGACTTTACTGATTAACTGCTGAGAAGAGGTTTTTCTAACTCAGATAATTCTATAACTGCAGCGAGAAATCAAAGTATTTTTATTCAACAACACAATGTGCAAGGCAAGGCAAGTTTATTTGTACAGCACAGTCCGTACACAAGGCAACTCAAAGTGCTGAACAAAACAAGAAAGAAACAATCACGCAAGGCATTAAAATCATAAATAATCACAGAACATAAAAGAGCAAAGATACAATCCTCAGTTGTATGAACCGCTAAACAGAACTGGCTTTAACCTGGAATTTTAACATTGTCAGAGTATAGAAGCCTGTCACATTATCAGGAAGACTATTCCAGATTTTAGCAGCATAAATCTAAAACGTTGCCTCTCCACGGTCAGTCCTGACTCTGGGAACCAGTCCCTGTGCTCCTCAGAGTCTGAGTAGGTTCATATGGCACTAACATGTCACAGATGTACACAAGCTTTATGTCTGTTCTCTGAGCCACAGGCGGCCAGTGCAGAGACCCGAGAAAAGACTAATGTGTAAGTCATCTCTATGAAAATGTTCTCCAGGGGAATCACTTGAGCTATGTTTGGTCCAATATATACACAATCCCATATTAACTGGCCTTTTGGGATCGAAAAAACGAATTGATCATATTCTTTTCTGGTAGGTACACGAGCGTAAGTGTGGCGCTGTCCGGGAACAGTACGGCATCCAGCGCGTGGAGGCAATGATGCACACTTTGGACCGGATCAACGCCGACCAGCAGATCCTCCCCAACATCTCTCTGGGCTGCGAGATCCGAGACTCCTGCTGGCATTCGGCCGTGGCCCTGGAGCAGAGCATCGAGTTCATCCGGGATTCGCTGGTGGCGTCGGACGAGGCAGAGGAGTGGGGCGGCAGCAACTGGGGCGGAGGAGGCGGAGGGACCATGAAGTGCTCGGACCCCTCAGCGACTCCCATGAGAGGAAAGAAGCCCATCGTGGGACTGATCGGGCCTGGTTCGAGCTCTGTGGCCATCCAAGTCCAGAACCTGCTCCAGCTCTTCAACATACCACAGATCGCTTACTCAGCCACCAGTATGGATCTCAGTGACAAGGTATTGATAATCTGCTGTCTATTGTGTCTATCTATATATTAGAATATCATTTTAGCATGCATTCCTTTCTATCTGTTTTTTTGTTGTTTCATTTTTTATGACTTGTTTGCACCATATGACAAGGCAAATTCCTAGTTTGTGACTGCCCATTGCTTCTAATGAAGATTCTGATTTTGATTCAGATTGTGCACAGGCCAGATTATGTACATGCTTTTGAGTTATGAATGATAACTCAAAAGTTTTTGTTTGTTAGTGATTGTGTGAAGCAGTTTCTTGTCATGTTTCCATATTATATATTCAATCTTTTCTATTTGCCAATAAGAACACCAGAAACTACCCAAATTACCCCGATCAGAAGTCGCCATCCCCCTGTTCTCAATAGTGTGTATCTTCACTTTAACATATTTGGTAGGCTTTTGTGGTAGTTGTGGATGAGGTTCTTTATCCTGTCATTCTTCTTGACAAAACGCTTTGAGTTCCTTTAAATTGGTGGGCCACATTGCGTGAACTTCATGTTTGACCTCTGCACAGATTCAATTACGTCATCATGTGAAAACGGTAACCATCTTATCTGATAATATGAGGCTACTCAGAACCATGCACGATGATTGGGGAAAAAGCATGTCATAATCATGGCCAAAACAAACCAGGCTGGTGCCACCTTGTGCCTCTGCTCTGTTTCATTTCACTCCAGCTACTCGGGTTAGGAAGGTTTGTCTTTTAAACTTGGAGATTAGGTGATTTGGTTCTTCGATGTTATTACCTTGGCATGAGAAAGAAAGAAGAATGCTGTTGAAACATGTCAGTGTAAGAACATTGTTATCTTACAATTTTTCTGGTATAGAAGAACCAAATCATTTACTCCAGCTACTTGGTTAGGCATTGCAGCAACGCAGAAGGCTCCAAGAACCAATCAGCACCTGCTATTGTCCTGCCTCCTACATACGTCATGAACAAAATTCAGCGATTGGTGAAAGCAAAAGCTACCTGCCCACTGTGGAGCGAACGAATGCAGCAACGTTGCAACGTTGCAATGTCAGATGGTTTCTACAAAGAGAAATGGCTGGTACGTCAGGCCATGCAGTTACTGCCAGGGGGTGTAAACTTTCAAGTATGATATACGTATAGTATGTAAGTGTTCACGCTGGTTGTATTCAAATTAAATATGCCCTTGTTTTGCCAGAGCCTTTACAAGTACTTCATGAGAGTTGTGCCTTCGGATATGCAGCAAGCAAGAGCCATGGTGGACATCGTAAAGAGATATAACTGGAGTTATGTGTCCGCCATAAACACAGAAGGTACATTTATTATTTGATTTGTTTGATCATAGCTGTTTGATCTCCTGTACTTCACCTCATAATGCATTATGCACAATCTGATATCATCAAGTAATTAACAGTCCGAGATCACTGTTACAAGTTGATCCTGTTGATCCTCTCATAACCTTAACCTATTCTTAATCCTAAAACTAACCCTAGTCCTGACCCTAACCATAGTGAGCCCTAGCCCTAACGATAACCCCATCCCTAACCCTATTCTTGTCCCAACCCAACAACCCCTGGGCAAACAACTGTGACACTGATCGTCGACTGTAGATTACTTGGTGATGTCAGATCATGCATCAATTATCAACTATTGATCTGATTTATTGGGCCTAAATGGTATGAATCTATAACTGTTGTGTTGCTTATACTATACAAAGTTTAATTAAGTGTGATCAAACTATGTCCCTATACTGCTCGTATTTCCACAAAAACTGATTTGTACTTGTCGTGCTCATGACGTGGAGTTTGTTGTTGCTTTCGCTTCCACATCATGGTTTGCTGCACATCAATCTCCAAAGGAATTTAACATTTTTTATACTCCTCCAGAAATGCTCGACTGCAGGGGCCAAATAAAATAGCGTGTGCAGTTGAATGTGCATCATAAATCAGTTTGCTCCAATGTTAAGAGGTGCTGCTAAGAGACACACACACACTCACACACGTACACACACACACACACACACACACACACACACACACACACACACACGCACACACGCACACACTCTTGATTGAGATGCCTTGGCCTAAAGATTATGTTCCTTACTGATGTTAAGCAGTAATTACACAGACACTGGGCATGGACATTTCTGAGGGACAGCATTTCTGTTTTATACATATGATAAAAAAGACTAAAACACAGATGTCACAGCTGCAGATGTCAACTTTCTTGGCGCGCTGTGAGGTTTAAAGAGCGCGTCCTCTGAATCCAAAATAATGATCAGCAAAATAACAGGAGGATGCATTTACAGGCGTCTATTTTACATTATTATTCCTGCATTACATATTTATAGCCACGAAACTCACTGGAGATACTAAGTGATTCGGTGCAATTATAGATTCTTGTGCGCTTGCTGCTGCTCAGAGCTGGAAATTCTTCACACTGACGGAGTTCTTTTCGTGAGGGTTTGACCTTGGAAGAACCTTCAAGGGCGACAGTGGCCTTTTTAAAGACAATCAGTCAAATCAAACTGAGCAAACGGAGCCAGCAGTGTCAGACGGAGGCGGCACAGCGGAGGAGGATGGGGAAAAGGCTTTAATAGGATGAACGAATGCAAGATGTTGGGGGTGTGAGCTACTATAGAGCCAAAAGATACATAATATACTTTCATTCATTTCAATCAATCAATCTTCATTTGTAGAGTGTGTTTGTTACACAGGGCAACACCGAGCGCTTAACATAAACACTAAAATCACCATCAACCAAATTCTAACACATTTAAAATAAGGTAATTAAAACCATTAAAACATTAAGATCACATAATGAGGGATTCAATGACTAAATATAAATGCATTAACAAGAGTAAAGATAAAATCCTTCGGTTGTTTTCACAGGCAAACAGAACCGTCTTTAACCTGGATTTGAACACTGTCAGAGAAGAAGCCTGTCTCACATTTTCAGGGATACGGTTCCAGATTTTAGCTGCATAAATCTGAAGAAAAATAATGGTTCTCGCACTCTGCTGTCCTTGCAAAAACGATCTTTCTATTGGGATATGTTACGTTTCGGTCCTGAGACTCTCATCAGGCAAATTGCTGCATAAATCTGAAATCTGCTTCCGAGTTGCAACTATGCCCCTAATATTTGATTGAAACATAAAATATTCCACCCCTTCTTAATCTTCTCTTTTTTTTTCTAACCCATGTCTCTATTTCACTAATGCTTTGTGGATATTATTGACTTCTATTCGACGCGGGTCACCTAAACATACTCATTAGAAATGATTGATTTGCTCCATGTAGCACTGTGACTGTTCCACAATTCCCAATAACTGTGAGCTTATTAGTGAATTACATGCCTATTCCTGCCTTCAGTCTGATGAATATACGTGTTGAATATCCAATGTCTGTATTATCGATTGACATTCCATGGTGGCTATGGCTCATAGAGAAAACAGAGAAGTTGGCAGAAAATGGCTGCTTGAGTATTGTTGTCTCTTGCCTGGCTGCCTAAGGGGGATGATTTACAATTGGGTCAGGAGACTAGTTCTTGTGGGTCACGATATGAGGAGTGCTCCATGCTATGATTAAAGGCTATAGATGTATTCATTCAAGCTATACGACATTCTTACAACAAAAAAGGCTAGAGTGTTAAAACACAGATGGATACCTGAAATAGTCTTTTTACATGGAATGAGCCGTAAAGCAGGTGGCTGTGGTCTGAAAGAGAAAGCACTGCGTGGAGGCAAGTGGCAACAAGGGGGATTCGTACAGTAATTGCATGTGATAGCATCTCAAAATAGTGAAAAGAGGATGTGAATGGGAACAGAATGGCGTAGGAAGAGTCTCTAGGCTCCGTTCCAGTGTGTTTTACAGACGGTTTACGGTTTGAAGACATAGTATGTTTGTTACTCAATTACTTACTTTGTCAAATTTAAACATTCCATACTTGTATTATGAACATATTAACATGTACAGATTATAGTATTCAGGTATTTAATGATAATTGATTAAAACTGGGGAACCTATCTTTTAAACCACTAAAATTTCTATGTTTAAGTCCATCCAACTAAATCCTTGCTCTCAAAGCAGTTTTTGTATCACTTTAGTTTTCTCATGCACTTTCTGTATTGGCCTCTGTCTCATCTTTAGACCGTCTCACTCAGCCAATCAGCTCTCAGCACAAAGCTCTTGAAATGTTAGAGATAAAAGGTAAAAGAAAAGATTGTTAGTTTTACTGTTGGAGTGTTATTGTTGGAATATTTATGAGTCAATATTTTGATTAATTGTGGAGTATTGGAAACAACTCTATTACATGACACATTACAAAACGATAGAATGAATCTTCTATATCTAATCTTAAGGAATTATTATAGATTTATTGAATATTTAATAAATTAAATATAATAAAGTCTACATTTATGGATGTACCGCTTCACTCAGCCTTGTCAAAGCTGAAGTACCAACATTTTTACATTTTGTTTGTCCCAACAGATAGAATCGAAAGTGACATTTTGAGACCCACATATGAGATCACAACATACATGTGAAAACTATTCTATTATTCTGTCTCTTATTTTTATGGGTTCGATCTTGGATACTCCAGATTTAATACCATTTGGTAATTGAATAATCGTTTGTTCAGGCTTCACTAAGTGACTACCAGACTAACAGCGGTTTCTTGGTACTTTCCAGATTTAACGCCCTTAGAGGAACACGTGTGAAAGAGACACATGACACATTGGGGTGGGAGGTAGAGAAACTTACACATAAATCCCGATGGAAACAGGAGTGAAGTAGATTACAAGCTTTATCGATCTGGTTGGAATGTGAGTCTGTTGTACGTACAGTATACTCGTGAGCACAGGAGGAGGAAGGCCGCTCCATCTGTCTCTCTCCTCAGTCAGACACTAATTACAGGACTTTACACTTCTGTGTGACACGCTGATCACTAGCCTGAGTTCACAGCAGCAGCAGGATTTAAGACCATCTCCCCCCAACTTCACTGCAGCCTCTATATATACACTGCATTGTCTCTTTTCAATAAACATCTCATTTACATAAGTTAATTAATACATTACCAACATTTAAAACTACCTTAAAATGTGAAATAATTAATTCATATATTTTGCCTTAAAAATAAAAATAATAATAAAACAAAAAAGTGAACAAAAAATGAAAAATACATTGTTTTAGCAAATATGTATTTTGATTTTTTAAATCAGTAATGTATTTTATTTTTTCATATAGTTGTTGTGGGTACTCATCCACTCAGCCACCATGTTGAGGGCGGCACGGTGGCTGAGTGGCTAGCACTCTCGCTTCCCAGCAAGAAGGTCCTGGGTTGGAATCCCAGTCGGAACAGGGGCTCTCTGAGTGGAGTTTGCATGTTCTCCTCGTGTCCGCGTAGGTTTCCTCTGGGTACTCCGGTTTCCCCTACCGCTCAAAACATGTACAATAGGTCTGGCATGTGCCTCCTGTACTGAACCCGCTCCCATCTCTGTGTGGAGTGAGAGACAAATGCTCAAAAATAACAATTGTAAACCGCTTTGTGACTCTGGTCTGTGAAAGGCGGTATATAAATAAAGATTACTTACTTACTTACTTTACATAGCTAATGACTTGTTTGTGACGTGATCAGGATGGGCTTACATACGCAAGTTGCTTCAGCCCAATCCTTAAAAAAAAAGATAATACAGAATGTAATCTGTTATTGATCAACAAATTCCATCAATCAATTTATTGACCTGCTATCAATTAAACAGATCGATGACTGCTCATTAGGCTGCAGCGCTGGCATTGTTGGCTCGCCTCGAACACAGGAGAGGGCATTGGAGATAATAAGCAGATGATATCTCATTTGCAATGAGTAAAGAGTGTATTTTTGATCAGACACCACAGTAAACGGGCACATGAAACAGAGTAATGGAAATGAAAGAGGGAAATCCACTCCTGTCATATGCCAGTGTACAACCCACCATTAGCATAAATTCCAGGTCACCCACTTTCTCTGGCTGAGAATTGGGCGCCACATTAGGGAAACGGCTATTTCAATGCTCTGTTAGTTAAACCAATAGATGTATCATTCTTATTTTTTATTTTGACATGTCGCATTGTCTTGTTTTTTTCTTTAAGGTAATTATGGTGAAAGTGGAATGGAGGCATTCAAAGACATGGCTGCTAAGGAGGGGATCTGCATTGCCCACTCTGGTAAGTAACAGGGTAAAGGAAACCCATCCAAATATACAGAATAAAGCACAATACAAGACTTGTGGGTGAATGGTGATCATTTACCAGAGGCATCCTCAGAATTGGATCGTTCAACCACTTTCTACTCACTCAAATACATGTAGATCTGACCACAAATGTTTCCCTTTAGGCAAAATATGGAGCAACGCCGGAGAACAGAGCTTTGACCGCCTGTTGGAGCGGCTGAGGGCACATCTGCCTAAGGCCAGAGTAGTGGCTTGTTTCTGCGAGGGCATGACTATCCGCAACATCCTCATGGCCATGAGGCGCCAGGGCTCAGTGGGGGAGTTCCTTCTCATTGGGAGGTAAGTCATCAAACATGCATTTAATACACTCAATTACACAAAGTCTCAACCTGACATTGTTTGTCATTGATCTAAAGGAAATCATCAAAGGGTTTTTCTTCTATTTTCATTGTTCTACCCATTTGAATACTCAAATAAAATATAAAGTGCTAATACATTATTCAGAAAACACTAGAAAACCATTAAAATGTTTCCACTTCCATTTGATTCCCTTATATTGTGCTTTTCCCTCAGCATTGTCTGGCTGTAATTAAACATCAAAGTGTTTTGTTAATCATCGTCCTGATTATCATCATCATCAGCTTCATCATCATAATCACCCTCTTCTTGTTGACCATCGTCATGGATACCCCACTTCTGCACACTAAGAGGTACTGTTATAAAACCATAACTGTGTTTTAGATGTTTTAGATGTAACTGCTAGAACCCTTCATTATCAGCAAGTCAAACATGAACAAGCACATATTAGAATTATTTTACTAATGATTGCTGCGTGACATTGAAATGATCACAGTGTGGAGCATATTTGACAAATACACAGATCAGGCTTTTGTTTTCATAATTTTCTGACCCGTGGGAGGATCTCCCTGTGCTGTTGAGTCAAGGGTAGAAAGAGCAGTCTGAATGGAAAGTCAAAAAGCCGACTGGAGATCATCCCGCCCCAGTGTGCAGGCCTTCTGTCTGCTGTTGCCATGGAAATATCCTTACCATATTTGTATGAATCCTGCATAGCAGCTGGGCTGTTGTGTGACTGTGAAGTACTCTGCTGCCAGTCATTGATCAACACGGAAACTTTTGGATTTGTCTCACGCTGCATATTTGCTTGTTATTTCAAGGTCATTTTAGACGTTGTTTTGTATTAAGATTAAGGTTAGGATTCCTTTAGTCGTCCCACAGTGGGGACATTTCAGTGTTGTATCACAAGTACAAAACAGCTGGAATGAGGAGCACACATCACAAGATAACATTAATATATTAAGTATAGCACAACTGTGTATTTTATATTTTTTATTATTTTATATTTTTATTATTATTATTTGTTCAATTTCCTAATTTTTAGTCACAAATTAGGAAATTATTTTGGCTCTCGGAGCGAACAAGTTAAAATTAAAAAATACATTAGGCATAAAAATACAAAATCTACAAAACATTTAGTAAAATGGATATTTAATCTTCTTAAAGAAACACATTAGAAAAAGTATAAACATGTACAATTAGGGCGACAGTGGCTCAGTTGGTAGAGCATTGGCCTTAGAGCCTGAAGGTTGTGGGGTTCAAGCCCACCATAAGACCTACTTCACCTCTCCCACTGATGACTGCTGTTGTTGTGTCCTTGGGCAAGACACTTAACCCCACTTTGCCTGAAGCCCCCGCTGAAAGATCTCAGCTCCTGTGGACTCAGCACCTGCAGGAGGATCAGTGAGGGGCTGGTGCTATGTGTCTGGGTGCAGCTCTGACTGCCACCCCCCTGACCCAGAAATGGATTAAGGGGAAGAAGATGGATGGATGGATGGATAAACATGTAAAATATAGACTTGTAAACAAGTGCAAATAAATATATTCTTGTATTTATACATCTGTAGATAAATCTGGTATTGTGCTGGAATATTGAAGTAACTTGCTCTGTGGGTTCAAATATATGTGATACTGTACATGTTAGCAGCATGTGATACTGTACATGTTAGCAGCATGTGATACTGTACATGTTAGCAGCATGTGATACTACTGTACATGCTAGCAGCATGTGATACTGTACATGCTAGCAGCATGTGGTACTGTACATGTTAGCAGCATGTGATACTACTGTACATGCTAGCAGCATGTGATACTGTACATGCTAGCAGCAAGTGATACTGTACATGTTAGCAGCATGTGATACTGTACATGTTAGCAGCAAGTGATACTGTACATGTTAGCAGCAGGTGATACTACTGTACATGCTAGCAGCATGTGATACTGTACATGCTAGCAGCATGTGATACTGTACATGCTAGCAGCAAGTGATACTGTACATGTTAGCAGCATGTGATACTGTACATGTTAGCAGCATGTGATACTACTGTACATGTTAGCAGCATGTGATACTACTGTACATGTTAGCTGCATGTGATGATACTGTACATGTTAGCAGCAGGTGATACTGTACATGTTAGCAGCAGGTGATACTGTACATGTTAGCAGCAGGTGATACTGTACATGTTAGCAGCAGGTGATACTGTACATGCTAGCAGCATGTGGTACTGTACATGCTAGCAGCAGGTGATACTGTACATGTTAGCAGCAGGTGATACTGTACATGTTAGCAGCAGGTGATACTGTACATGTTAGCAGCAGGTGGTACTGTACATGCTAGCAGCAGGTGATACTGTACATGTTAGCAGCAGGTGATACTGTACATGTTAGCAGCAGGTGATACTGTACATGTTAGCAGCAGGTGATACTGTACATGTTAGCAGCAGGTGATACTGTACATGTTAGCAGCATGTGATACTGTACATGTTAGCAGCAGGTGATACTGTACATGTTAGCAGCAGGTGATACTGTACATGTTAGCAGCAGGTGATACTGTACATGCTAGCAGCATGTGATACTGTACATGTTAGCAGCATGTGATACTGTACATGTTAGCAGCAGGTGGTACTGTACATGTTAGCAGCAGGTGATACTGTACATGTTAGCAGCAGGTGGTACTGTACATGTTAGCAGCATGTGATACTACTGTACATGTTAGCAGCATGTGAACTACTGTACATGTTAGCAGCATGTGATGGTACTGTACATGTTAGCAGCACATGTGACACTTGTGGTCCCATTATGCACACTCTGACATTATTGTACAATTTTGCACAGATGCAAAACATATAATTAATAAAAAATATGAAAAAAAAATAAAAAAAAAATATTAAAAACAGTTTAATTCAATAATCAGATAAACTGTCATCAGTAATCGCTGTTCACTTTGTCACGTTGATAAAACTGACAAAAGCTCTTTATTTCTGTAAAGTGCTGTATTCCACAACATTACCTTCAGCGTCTCCAAAATGTACGGAGAGGCGCACATTGACACCTCCACACATATTCATCCTCTTACTGCTCTCAGAGGAATGGCCTTATCCTCTTAGCACACTCCAATGGGAAAAGTGCTGAGAATTATAAAGCAGAGGAGGGGCAGACAGAGCCATCGGCCGCAGCCACACAGACGATAAAGAGAGCAACAGGGGCTCGAGTCCAGCCTTTAAAGGTGTCTTGTGTGAACATACCTGGCCTGAACAGATCTGATTTAGGATCTATTGTCGCTGCAACAGGCTGTTTTGGTTTGGTCTGTCCCAATAGTATTTTTGGTATGTGGCTGCTCATTTTCATCCTTAGACTGTGGGATTAGTGAGTGAGTATTACATCAGCTCAAATGTACATAGTGCCACGCATGTGCACTCACATTGGAAATATCCATGATGTAATCCATTATTTGTGTGACTGAAAGGTTTTCCTCCTCTGTAGAGCTGTAGCAGATCACACCACAAAGCATTTTTGGATGTCTTTGAAGTTATACAGTTGTTTACCAGTGGTAGTGTCAGAACAATGCACCAAAATGCAGTTTAGTATCTAACCAGAAGAATCAGATAATATTACCAATATGAAAAACATATACAGTATGTGAGACTGTACAAAGATGCTTGTGCTAGTACAGTATACACAGTAACCCACCAGTTGACTTAACTTTAACATACCATCATTAGTGATTGTCTGGAGTTTGTCAGAAAGAGAGAGAGAGGTACTTGATTTGAAAAAAACCACGCAAGCTCCTCCCCCTTCCTTTCTGATTGGTCTACACCTACGTTTCTGTAACACTTTTAAATGTTAATCAGAGAACACATTATACATATACATTATTAATACACATGCACAGAGGTTTTATTTGTTAAAGTTTTCATGAAAAAAATAATGTTTTCATGCACAAAAAAAGCGATCGCGGCAAACCAGGAACAAGCTATTATCATGAAATGAACATTTTAGGACACATCTGCAGAGGATCTGATTATGGATATAGGTTCATATATAAATGATTATGGATATAGGTTCATATATAAATGATTATGGATATAGGTTCATATATAAATGATTATGGATATAGGTTCATATATAAATGATTATGGATATAGGTTCATATATAAATGATTATGGATATAGATTCAGTATATAAATGATTATGGATATAGGTTCATATATAAATGATTATGAATATAGGTTCAGTATATAAATGATTATGGATATAGGTTCAGTATATAATGGAGGCTTGACTCGGACGCTCCATGAAAACAAACAACTGAGCATGAGCAGCTACGAGCATCAGCGCTGATGATTGACAGCCCTTGGCATCACTTGATTGGTTAAAGTGGACGGCATCGTGGATTCTGAGCCATAGCTAAGAGAAGGGAAGGCGGGACTTAGCCGTAATATTAGAATTAATAAAATGACTTATTTAATATCAACATTTAAGGCCAGGAGGTCGATTTAAAACAAATTTGTAAAGTAAATCCGTTTTATGATAATTTTTTTCATATTGTATCTGTAAAATATCTACTCCAAAACATAATGCTTTGTGTGGCCTCGGTCTGTGAAATGCGTGATATGAATAAAGAATACTTACTTGATTATTTTTCGTTAATGCATTATCCAACAGACCTTTAGTTCAGCTGTGACAAGTTCAAACACATTTCAAACAATTATTATGAACTGTATTCAAGTAACATTCAACTGAAATACACATAAAACAATTTCTTTAAAACCACCATTTGTCTGCGTGTTAAATCCCACACAAAACATGTTTAATAGATAATAGTACGGCTTCCTGGTTTATCTAAGGCTGAAGTACCAAACTTTCAAACCACAGAAACATGGAACTATGTCATGAAATCCAGCCAACTTCTTCCTCGCTCTCAAAACACTTCGGTTCTGTCACTAGTTTTCACATGCATGTATTATTGGCCTCTGTCACATCTTTAGATTTTTCAGATAGAAAAGCGACAAAGAGAGAACCGCCCTCACTCAGCCAATCTGCTCTCGGTCTAAAGTGTCAATTAGTGACTCACAGGGCTCTTTCTCACAAGTATGCAAAATATAACATGTTTTCTAATAGACCCAAGAGAGCATGTTGGGGACCCATTACCTATGAGACAAGAAATGGGAAAAATAATAACAAAAAAATGGGAGAAAATGGTCCAGTGGTGGTTTGAGGCTGACATTGTTGACGCGTGACACTTGGGAGAAAGCAAATGAGCGAAATAATGAAATTGAAGTTTTGACACAGATTTCCGGTTAAAAAAACAAACCCCCCCGGATACTTTCCCCTTCATCAAACTCATCTGAATCC